GCAAGTAAAGTGGCTGCGATAAGAGTAATGGGATCTGGAGGTAAGAAAAATGAATCTCTGGATTTTTTTTATGCTGGAAAATTAAATTGCTTTGAAGAAAGAAAGAAAATCCAAAGCTATCATTCCAGATGTCACATTTATATGAAATGAATTCTCTTAGTGGTCCAGGTGATATGAAAGATTGGAAGATTTAAGGCTATTTTTCCTCCCTTGTGCTGTTCTGGCCTTTCGCTCCCCACCTGGCTCAGGTGTTGGTATTCTCTCAGCGTCTGAAATTCCCTGGCGATTATGTACATGTGCTGTGATACATTCATGTTTTGCCCCTTTGCCCCCACATTTCCTTGCTTTTGTATCTCGGCCCTTCCGGGGAAGAAAACGTGGGCCGGAATAGCAAACAGGCAATGAGGAAATTGTAAATACAGACACTGGGTAGGCGGGCACCGTGGTGGGTGCCATCTTTGACTGCAGTCTGGCGAGAGACTGCTTCTTTACTTTGCATCACCTCACAGATGGGTGAGGTTACTACGAAGCTGTCAGCCCATTTGTAAACCAGAACCAGAATTAGCATCTCATTAAAGAGAGCCGTGGGCGCACTAGATGTCCTTCTCTGCTGTAATGGTCAGTACGACTCTTTATGCTAATGCTACAAAGATACAGAAGCTTCTTAGGTGTGTTTTAGCTGCAAGTTTGAACATGTCAGTGTTACTAAGATGGTAACACTCTCAAATCAGACTGGGCTTTCACATGGGTCTGTTAATGAAGATCCCCTTGTGGGGCAAAGTGCATTTAGCTAAATATATTCACATATATTTACAGACATATTCCCAATGCTACTGATATCTTTTGATTTGGAAGAACATAAGAACACTTGCGAATTCATCACATTTTACAAGATTTAAGTTGTATGAAATGTCGATATCTGACTTCTGACTAATACCTGGTTCTCATGAAAACCGTGTTGCCACAATAAACTGAATAATCACTTTCCACTTAAGGATTTGTGTACTGTAGGAAAACAAAAATGATTTTTATCTAACATCCGTCTAAAGAACCTTTTCTGGCACCTATATTTTTACAAATGTAGAGTCATATAGGTAAGGAATAAAAGCCCTGGGGTGTGTTGTGTGCTGAAAATAATCAACGCCATTGACATTCCAATAACGATACATCCTAGAGCAATTTGCCAGTGATTACAAAGAAATGTATTTATTAAAGAAACCAAAGTCATCTGTTCTGAAACCTTTCTCGTAATGTAAAAGAAAGAACTCTGACTTTTAGAAAGTCATAGATTACATGGTGTCATACAAGAGCCAGTGAATTAGTTCAAATAAACCTGTGATTTGATTTACAGCCACCACTACTGTCACAGCTGTTGTAAGAAAATTTCATCACCAACTGTCCATTCAGATTTGAGAATTCAACAGCGCTGTGGTATAATTTTGTTTTAATACTGTATCTCACAGAAGTAAATGTAAACGGTAAATGTGCACTTATATAGCACTTTTATCCAAAGCGCTTTACACTGTGTCTCATTCACCCATACACACACACACTCACGGTAGCAGAGCTGCCATGCAAGGCGCTAGCAACTTGGGGTTCAGTGTCTTGCCCAAGGACACTTCAGCATGTGGAGTCACCCGGGCCGGGAACCGAACTGCCAACCCTAAGATTAGTGGACAACCCGCTCTACCAAGTGCGCCACAGCCACCCACAGTAACCCAAACCCACAGCCACCCAAAGTAATATTATAAATTGTAGGAAGATGCCATTGTAGGTGGTGGAATAAATTTGCTAAATGGAAATAATTCCTTTCGATCCTCTATGTTTGTGTTGCAGTTTTTATCCTTTTGTATTCTTTAGCACTTTTAACACTCTCTTATGCTTCATCTAGCCCTGTATGCTACATTAATATACCTTCTGCTAGGAGCAGGAATTTAATCCCAGAGCCTTTGTGGTGTTACATAAGACAAGTGAGACTCCCTCTACCTCACCACACCAGGCTGAGCTTAATGAGGCTTGGACCTAGAGACACTGCACTTCTAAATGATTGTAGGAGGCTTAAGATAATACACGTATTCATTTAAATACAAAGGCAGGAGATCAGCTGTGGGTGGCCAGGCTGCCTGAAGATGTTTTCTGTCTTCAGGTCAAGTGGTGATTGGTTCTGGATGTCAGGAAAATGGGTTGTACGTCCATCTTTGTTGTCTTGTACATTATAGCTGAGCTGAATATCTGGTAGCTCCCCAGCTAACAAATTAGCCATCATCCTTTAAATGTCTATGTGGCTGAATTTTAGAAATCAGTCAGAAAAGATGAAAAATCTGATCTTGGCCAAACGGTCTGTCTATCTGTAGCATACTTTGACAACTCAACTTCAAGGAACCATAAATATATTTCACCAAAAGGATGTGTTGGAAATGTATTTATTTTTCAATCTTGCCTACGCTATCTTCCTGTAGAGATCACACTGGGAAATTGCAGCGTTAGAAACAGTCAGTCTGCCTAAAGACATCTAAAACCTTGCTAGCTCAGTGTGATTTCCTCCCACTGTGAATGTCCGGCTTTAATCAAGTTGTTGAGTAGTTATGTTCCATAGTGAAATGGACATAAGCCTCATCAATTCAGTTTGTAATCACTTCCCAGCTGTCAAACAATCTGTGATGATGCACAGCAGTCAGAATGAAATATTTAAATGCATTTTTCTCCCTTTTTCACTTTTTGGGGTAATTTAAAATACTTGAAGTTTACTTCTGTTTGAGATACATACAAATTTTCAGAACTATACATAGTAGAAAATGTCAGTTTCACCATATGAAGGGTTTTCCCAGGCCACCGCACATTTTAGGTTAGTAAGTTGGTAAGTTGCAGTTCTATAAACTTTTAGTCCCAAAAATGTTTTCTCTATTAAGCTTTCTGAGTTTTCTAAAAATGTTGCTGCAACAATTTTTGTGCTAGCTTTAATATTCATTCATTCATCAGCAGTAAGTTCTGTATCCAGGTCAGGGTAGCCTGGCAGTTTCTTATCCCAGGATCACTTGGTTTGAGGCGGGATCTTGGGTTTAGCAGTTCCATAATATTTTTCTTGTGTGATTCTGAAAACATGGTATGTGCAACATTATAATAACAAACCATTCTTACAGGCAGGTTGTTGTTGGTGTTGTTGTTGTTTCAAATATGGCAAGAAAAAAATTTCTGGAATGTTAAAAGTCAACCTTCGTAGATGTAGTCAAATGCTCTAATAACATTCTATGTTAGCTGGATGTGTATGTAACTGTGGTTTTATCTTGGTGCTTTGACCCAAGTGGATATAGTACAGGTTGTCACTGAATTTGCATGTCCAATAGAAATCCGATTTGTAATAGGCCTTAATACAAAATAGAGAAACAAAGACATTATTATTTCCACTTATTACATCAACAATACAGTAGTATTTTAATGGGCATCTAATACAGAGGATGAAATGTGTTCACACATTGTTCTAATAAGAGTTTTATTGTTTTTTTAATTAAAAAAAGGATCCAGTACAAATTTCAATAGCTCAATTCCTTCTAACTAGAATAATTATGTGAATATGCTACAATATAGGTTTTCTGCTCATTTCAATTTCCCTCACATGTATGACAAACCTTTCCATGATGTCTTATTCTGAATTTGCAAGACCATCATACTGTTCATACTGATTCCTGCAGTGGCAAAAGGAAATACACCAACAACACATTGCAACAGGGTTAATATGTCAGCAATGATGTATTCCAGACATAGCACACAAACTGAATATAAATCTGGATTTTTTATTTATTTATTTATTTATTTATTTTACATCTGTTACAGTTTGCTTTTACGTCTACATTGGCATCTTTGCAGAGAGTATGCAGTAATTCAGAGGGCAGGTTAGTAACCTGTAGACTGATGAATGTGAACATTGAACAGCATTGCCAATTACACAGATGGCCTTATGGCCTAGGGAACAGGAGCCATGAAGAAATCAATGTTCTGCTGCAATTGGGAGGTGCTTCATATATTTTCCAATCTTTCATGTCCTACCTCCACCGAGCTGAAGATAATTGTATTCCCTCCGGATCCTCTTAGGCAGTGATTCTCTGACCTGTAATCGCTCTTATAACATGTCATTAGCAGATTTAATATGGGGGTTCTTGTTGAGTGAAAAATCTGAAGTGCTAACAGATCAAATGTCATGGATCTAAAATTCTGCCTGCATTTGTTCAAACATTGCAGGACTCTTAATAAGTGGTTGTAAATTTTGGCTAGATTAGATGTTGGCATATAATCTCTGATTGCTGATCACGAGGAGCTTGGCATTAGCATTTATATGAAAAGCTGTTGTACAAGGAAAGCCGAAAAGTTGCTATCTGCCTACAGTCTCTGAGCAAGTTTTTTTTATTTTATTTTTGTGTTTCTAGAAGTGCACTTGATGGAATCAAAACAAGCAATCAGGCTTAATGAGCTGAGTACTGGCTGGTCATTTTATAGTGCTGTAACTCCCATAGTGTTGCTCGCATCTCTGAGTTACTGCAAAGGGGGTGAAAATGCATGCACTACTTCTGATTGGAGCTTCTGCATCTGTGAGTCACTTTCTGCTGTGATGGATAACCTAAAGACATCCCCCCCCTCACACACATACCCCAAATAACAAAAAAAGTTTATACCCAAGACACACCTTTGCTTCAGTACATAATCTCATCCAATACTGTAGATTTGTACATGAGAACTGCTGTAATCATAAAGACTACCCTCTGCTCATCCCAGGACTCTTACTCACAATATGCTCATAATGAACATCCTTTCAACACACTCAGTACTGCTCTACACATTTTTTTACTCTTCTACACCGGTAAACGGTAATGATGTATTATCCCACTATCCAGTGCCATCCAGAAGAGGATGGGTTCTCTTTTGAGTCTGGATCCCTTCAAGGTTTCTTCTTCATATCATCTCAGGAGGTTTTTATTGCTTGCCAATGTCATCAATATAATGAGGAAGTGGTAGCTCAGTGGTTATTGTGTTGGACTTCTGATCGGAAGGTTGTGAATTCAAATCCCAGCACCACAAAGCTGCCACTACTGTGCCCAAACCAAGGCCCTTAAAGGGATGGTTCACCCAAAAATGAAAATTCATGTTGAATTCATGGAAATTCATGGAAAATTCCAAAACCTTAATGGAATTTTTTGGGCTTGAAAGTTTTAGTTACTTGGACTATAAATAGAGGGACAGAAATCTCCAAGGTTTCATTCAAATATATTCGCTTGTGTTCCAAAGATGAACGAAGGTCTTATGAGTTTGGAACAACGTGAGGGTGAGTAATTGATGACAGAATTTTCATTTTTGGGTGAACTATCCCTTTAACCCTGAACTGCTCAGTCGTATAAATGTAATAATTGTAGGTTGCTCTGGATAAGGCAGTCTGCCGAATGCTGTAAATGTAATCTCCATTAGGAAACTAAATCCATAGCTCGATTTATATAAAGCTGCTTTATGACAATATTTATTATTAAATGCAAAGTATAAATCCATCATGAAGTCTTCATCTTTGACATTCCAGTGCATGAAAGTTCACATTTGAATAAAAAGATTTTGGAAACTGCTTTAGGATCTGACTCTAAAACAAATACTGTCTTCTATGTCTATATTTGGAGGTAGGAAGGCATCATTTCCTAATTGCATTTCCTAAGTAGTGCCTTCTGACATGCCTTCAGATTTCAGCATGCATGTATCATGTCCTACGTATCTCATAATCCAGTGCCTCAGCCACCTTGTAGAAATAAATCGTGGTGCAACAGACAATTCCGTTGTAGCTACCAAATGTGAATCAGACACATCATTACAGGAGGAACAGAGAGAAAATCATGTCTAAAAATTTATGGACATCCTAAAGGCAAGGAATTGCCCAATATAGAGTCCCAGAGGCTCACAGATGTGCGAAAACACCTTAAAAGCAGCACAAGACGTCACGTCAACCAGTCACTCATGTTTACTCTTAAAATAAAGTGTAATCATATTGTCTTAGTATGTAAATGTCACTGTGCATTTATTTTATTAATTATAATTAAAAAGGCTCAACTGATAGGATATCATAGCAGCACGTCTAATCACACCACATGATAATGTCTCCATTGTAACATTGAAACCTTTTACAATTACACCACATTTATCCAAGTGATTGTCAAATTGATAACTGTGCTACACATCCATGTGAAACTCTTGAGTGTTATTTTTGCCCTTTCTTTGTGATCATGAATATAAGTGCTGAAGTGGATAATATGAGGCATTATGTCATGGCTGTATGCAGGTGTGTGAGCATGTGTGATATGAGGAGGGAGAGCTGTCGCTATCGTACATATAGCCCAGGGAAAAAGCAATTATCCAGAGTGTTTCATACTGATGAACTGAAGATACATCCAGACAGATTGTTATCTGCCTTACCTTCATTATCATACTAGCAGAGTGAGAGTGTGAGATTGAGGACCACTTCCCTCTCACAGTACATCACTATCTCCACCTCTCTTTTCTCTTTTCCCACTCAACTGTCTCACTTTATCTCTCATGGTCTGTCTCTTTCTCTCTCACTCCATATATCCTTATACCTGTGTGTTCATTTCCTTTTTCTGATTAAGCCTGATTTAAAGCTTCCACAGCAAAGGTCAGAGTGGAATGGCTATGAGAACAGAAAGCTATCACAAATCTGCTTTCAGAGCTTCACTCTAGGATGAGACATTAATGATGGATGGAGACAGATAAATGGCTGTTGATTTATGAGATAGAGAGTTGATTTATAAATAGAGAAGGTAGAGCTTCTAAGGAGCAAAACATAGCAACACAGTCCAGTAATACTTCACTAAGACGGATGTTTTTGCTGTTGTTTTGGCCTGACACAATCTCTAGGAAAAGACAGTAGATATTACAGCTAAAATTGGGATTACTATTCATTCAATTATTCATTTATCTTCAGAATCTGTTTTTTCCTGGTCAGGATCATGGTGGATCTGGAGCCTGTATCAGAAACACTAGATGTGCAGTGGGAATACACCCTGGATGTACACCTTGGGGTAATTTAGCATAGCCAATTCACTTACTGACATGTTTTTGAGAGATGTGAGGAGACCTGAGAACCCAGGGGAAACCCATGAGAACACAGAGAGAACATGAAAACCTCCTTAGTGTGCGTGCTCAGGATTGAACCAGGGACCCTGGAGCTGTGAGATAGCAATGCTACCCACACTGCCAAGCTCCGTTTTAGAGAAATAAATGAAAATATTAGTTGTTATCTCAATTTTGTTTTTAGAATTAACAAAATGTGGTTGGTTAAGTAATGCTTTAGACTACCCCTATGCAGAATATAAAACATAATGCATCCAGGTTACATTTTGCCATCTCTCCAAAGTGTGACTTTGCTCACGTCACACTTTGTACTCAAGTACTTTAGTTTTTCTTTTACGTTGGTTTGCAGATGTGCAGTTATCAACCATGCACTGAAAATATGAAGTACAGTTATGGATGCATAATGAGCTTATCTACTTTACTGACTGTCCTGCACTCGACATGGTTCTCCAGTTCACACCCCAGCTGATGGTTATACGAGTTGAGAGAGAGAGCTTCACTCACCAATAGTGCATAAAGCCAGACTGAGTTGCACTTGTACTAGCCGATGTTCCCAACAACCAATCACCGATCACTATTGTTCCCAACAACAAAAAATTAATGATCATTATTGTTCCCAACAGCCAATCACCGATTATTGTTGTTCCTAATAACCAATTACCGAACACTATTGTTCCCAACAAGTAATAACTAATCACTTGTTCCCAACAACCAATCATTGATCACCCCTATTCCGACAACCAGCACATTACATTTGTGGCATTTAGCAGACTCCCTTATCCAGAGCAACTTACATTTATATATCTGAGCAGTTGAAGGTTAAGGGTCTTGCTCAAGGGCCCAACAGTGGCAGCTTGGTAGTGCTGGGGTTTGAACTCACGACTTTCCGATCAGTAACGTCTTAACCACTGAGCTACCACTGCCCTATCCAATCACTAATCACCATTGTTCCAAACATTCACTGCTCATTATTGTTCCCAACAACCAATCACTGATCACTATTTTTCCCAACAACCAATCACTGACCATCATAGTTCCATTGTTCCAAATGACATGTCACTATCACCACTCTCACAAGTGATCACTATCACAAGTTATCAATGTTCCCAATCCCATCACTATTGTTGTAATGAAAGACATTTATGCCATCTGTAATCAATGTCTTCAGAAAGCTTCCTTCTTCATGTAATACATTTTGATATGCAAATCATGATTATTCGATATGCAAGTTAGTCTGTGATGTCATCTGCTGACTTTTGACTTTTTGAGCATAGTTTAGCTACTTTAGTCCGCAAAACTGCTTATTAAAAATCTTTGTACACTGCATTTATACAATTAAAATGTTGTGCTGTTGCAATGCAAATCTGCTGCTTATATATGCATACTATATTTGTTTATGTGATTATTTGGCTGCTTTTCATTTTCTGATCTGCAGTGATTAACGTTAAGGTTAATGTAATATTAATGTAATATTAGAGACACGCTTCTGTATAGAGGTAACAGCAATCGTTTCTTTAAGTATTCAAGCAGCAGGTCTGACTCATAAACGTGGTTGTGAATTAAATCAGATTTTGACTCGGTGGGTGGTGTAGGTTCCTGGCTAGGTTTATGAATTGTATATTTTAAGTAGGAATGAGGCAGAGGTGGAAATACTTAAAGTAGATTACAATAGACTCTGGAACCTGTTTTTCTATTAGTGGTATTTTATTTGAGTAAGCATACAATTAATCTTTCTTTGCATGCAAAATAATGGCAATTTAGTTTAAAAACAATAATAGCAACTTTATTTCCTAACAGCTAGCTAATCTTTTTTATTATGTCAGTTGTGGAGTATTAGCTTCGTATCATCAGTTTGTTCTCTATTTTGGCAGTACTATAACATATGGCATTCTGTGTCTAGCTTGAGTCCTCTCTCTCTCTCTCTCTCTCTCTCTCAAGGATGAGGCATGAGGCAATACTTCTAAAGCCACACAGAACCTTGTACTGACTTGCCATCTACAGCATTACAGTCTCAGAGAAAAAAGTTCTCTCTTTGGCTACTTCCTCTGGGGTACCAATAAAGGTTTTATTCAGAATAATAATAATGTAGCCCAAACTGCTGTAAAGTAAATGTAATAGATAAACAGTGTAAATAAACTTTGTATGGAAGAGAGAAAAAAAAGCATACATTTACAGAGACACAAAATGGAAAACAAAAGTAAACAATAAAATACAATATTACACACACACACACACACACACACACACACACACACAAGTGTGATTAAATTGCAAAGCTAACTGTGTGTAACAGCAAACTGTAAAATTAGTTATATTAATTACCGGTCAAATTTTAATAAGTAATTTTCTGAATATTGGAACATGGCACAAGCTATGTTCTATTTGTCTTTGTACTTCATCCTTGAAATGTTCAATAATCCAGCACTTAATTATGTTAAAGCCTGATATCGAGTATTTCCTGTCTGAGAAGAAGGCTCTAAACCATTAAAAGCTTTACCAGTAAGAGTCCTATAATAAAAACCGAAATGAAACGGACAACCAGTGCATTGATGTCAAAGCAGGTGTAAGTCTGACTGTGGTATTCTGAATGTCTTTGGGGTTTTTTGTATTACAAACAACAGCTTCTGTTTTGCTTAGATGACAAAAAGTAGTTTTAATTATTATTAATATATATATATATATAATGAAAATATTAATAACATATAAAAAAATTAAAACAAGCTTCCTGATTACTTTGCTTTGACTTGGTGAAGCTGGCACATTTAGGAACAAAACACCAAACAAACAAACAAAAATCTGTGATTGACACAGCTGTGAAACCCCAAATTAGTTCTGGTGCAACCAGTTGTCATCAAAAGCCATCTAAGTAGTGGAAATGCAGTGATCTGTGTGCCATTAAAGTGACCTCAATATAAATACATCTGTTCCTGGAGGACCACAGCATAATGCTCAA